CTTCAATAAAATATAACTTTATGAATAAATTCTCATGAAATTTACAATTTTAAATAAAAATCCGACAATTCATCAACATGTGAAATTTTGTATGTACATAGTTTATAAGTTTTCAATATACTTCAAAAATTCATACAGACAAAAAAACTGATATACAAAAAGTTATATATATATATTGATCCTTCAAATCTACAAATCAACGATTCGCCCTTGCATGGAGTATTTTTGCTGCCATATATGGTCCGTTGCTCCTCCTGTTTGTCTCAAAGTTCTTGATAAGATCCAGAGACGGATATGTAATATAATTGGCCCTGATCTGGCATTTCATCTGCAGTCGCTCTCTCACAGATGTGCCGTCGACTCTCCCTGTCTTTTTTACAAATACTTTCATGGTAACTGCTCCGATGAGCTGCTTTCGCTGGTTCCCAGACTTCACGAATTCAAGCGTTCTACTAGGCTGGCATCCCATTCACACCCTTTCACTGTTGAAACTGTTAAATATAGCCGTCTCTTCTACTCCAATAGCTTCATATCCCAGACCTCTCGCCTGTGGAACTCCCTTCCCTATTCCTGTTCCCCTGATAGCCATAATTTCCAACTATTCAAATGTAATGTCAATCGACGTCTTCAGATGCCTTGATCTATCCCCTATCCTTCTCTTCATCTTTTCCTCTATCACTCCTATTTGCTCTTGCTTCGACTCTCTGTAACCCCTTGCGTGCTAGTACTTCCCGCTTTGCTTGGGGTGAAATGCTTAAAAATTTCAATATAAAAATATAAGTATGACCATCATTGATAAGGTCAGAATGTACTGACTGTTTTCAAAAATTACAATCACAAACTACATATTAAGAAATCCTTGATAATGGCAAATGGATTAGCTGAATGTGCTTAGCTCTATGTCCAAACTAAAAATATATTGTCTTGTACGGATGCAAGAAAAATATAAAATAAAATATAATAAAAAGTTTAATATACACATATAAATCTGTACAAATCAGTATGAAAACAAAAGGAAAAATTATCTTAGCTGATGTATTTCATTCTCTGAGGAACTTTAGAGGAATAAATTCATTGGCTAAGGTAAGTTTCCTTTTTGTCTTTATTGATATTGTTCTTTTACAGATATATCCTATTTGAAATTTTATACATAAATCTGTGTATATATATATATATATATATATATATATATATATATATATATATATATTTTTTTTTTTATTTTAGATTGTTACATCACACACAATTGCAGTCATGTTTCAATGTGTATCAAGACACCTAATGCATTTCATCAGGTTGCCTGATGAGATACATTGATACGCATCAAAACACAACTGCAATTCTTTAGCAATTTTGACATGTTTTCAATGAAATATCCTAAAATAAAGAATATTGCTTAACTTTGTATTGAGCCCTCTTTCAAATTACGGACATTGGAATTGTACTCTATTTGTTCTCATCTTACCTGTATATATATATATATATATATATATATATATATATATATATACTAGTAATAATCTTATAAGTATAAGAAATTATACTTGTCCGGAAACCTTTGGCGTCTTGATTTGCAAATAATCAAACCAATACCAAACGGAAAAAAAGGTATAAAAAAAAGGAAGAACAAAGAACATGTACATCAGCTGAAAATAATCGTCTAGCATGCAAGTCCAAAGCCCAAAGAAAAAAAACCCGATACGAGTAAGCAAAATAACTAAAGAACGTGCTCAGTATGAGTTTTCTTCCCCCACCTTTTTTTGTTTTGTTTTGTTGTTTTATCTCGATTTGAATAAATGGTTCAACCGCCATTTTTTTTTGCTTTGTTGGTCACATGGTTATGCTTTTATGTTTATAGGCTATAAGTATTCCATTCTTACATTACCTTTTTAGCTGGCCTTCCCTGACAATCCGCTTAGGTGAAACCTTGGTAGGTTTGTCTGGCTCTCTAGGTTTAACTATATATATATATATATATATATATATATATATATATATATGTAAAACGATATATCATTTTGTATAATTTTAGATATCCACAAACAGTATTTATAAAAATATGACAAACTGGAAAAGTTTTATGATGCATTCAACACACAGAAAGCCCACCTGTGGTTTATACAGCAGCTATTTTTGAGTAGACCTTAGTTCTAGTTTTTGGGAGAGAGAACATTTGCTATAATCAACAGTTTGAAAAAGCCCAGTATGCTCAAACTCACAGTCACAATGATTTATGACTAACACAACTATCGATAACTTCGGAAAAGTTCTGTAAGGCCTGGATTAAAAATGTTATGATTTTCAAGCACTTTCCAATGGCTCCATATGCTGGGTTAATCTTCCCAGGCTGATAACCAACCATAAAATAATTCAGACCTGGGTCTCATGATTTGAAAGTGAATGTTCTAACCACATTTTTTTCTTTTAATCATTTCACCCCAAGCAAGGCAATAAAGCCACTAAGATGCCAGGGGTTACTGAGTGTTAAAGAGTATAAGAAATATATACTATTAAAGAGAAAGGACAATAAAAGAACAAGAATTCAGTAGATAAGGATTGACACTGAATTTAAAGTTTTGAAGATCAAAGTTGACTGGGAAACAAGGAGCCAGAAGAGAGTTCCACAAGCGAGAAGTGCGATAGAAGAAACTGTTAGTATAGAACTTACGGTTGCATCTAGCCATTTCAAGTGTAAAATGATGGGACTTTGCTGCCAATCTAGTACTGCGCTTAAATTCATAATGTTGAGGTACCAAAGAGGAAAGACCATCAGAACAATTACCATGAAAGTACTACATGTATATATATATATATATATATATATATATATATGTATGTATGTAGAAAGAGAGAGAGAGAGAAAGAGAAAAGTAAAATACATATATATATATATATATGTGTGTGTAAAGAGAGAGAAAGAGAGAGAGAGAAAGAGAGAAAAGTAAAATATATATATAGAGAGAGAGGGAGAGAGAGAGAAAGAGAGAAAGAGAGAAAAGTAAAAAATATATTTAGATATATATATATATATATGTATATATAGATAAAAAAATGTAATAGAAGTAAAATACTTAGTGTATTGAGAACTCTTCATTTTAACTTCTTACTCGCTGGGTTTTTTTTTTCTTTCTACAATAGATTTAAGGTACTGGATGATTTCTTTCACCCTGTTCAGAGGTTTCTGGTGCTTTCGTTTTTTCTCCATTTTTCCTCAGATGCCAATTTATTTGAAAATTGTGCTATACAGGTTTTTTCACCCACCGAGTTTAAATAGATTTACATTAAATAGATAGATATAGATAGATAGATAGATAGATAGATAGATAGATAGATATACACACATATGCATGTGCAAACATACATAATAATGCCTGAGTGCTCATTTCCCAATACTACCAGCGACTAGGGTGACTACCTAATCCCTGTTTCAGATGCTTGCTCAGGCACATTTTTGATGGTTGAACACTCACAGAGTCAAACATTGGTTTATACACCAACTATGTTGAGCAAACCTTAATTACAGTTTGGAGAGAACACATAAATTTGGTGTGATCAACACTTGCACAAGGTCAGTACTCTTAAACCATCAATCACGATAACAAGTGACACTCACATAATTCACAAAACAATTTTTTCTACCCAATTTCCCTCATGATATTTGGGTCGACCCATAGCACAATTTTTAAGGCATTTTTCCATAGTACTAATTGCAGTGATTGTCTCACATAACTGACAAATCAAGTATGGTGTGATTTGAACCCAAGTTTCATGGTCAGAAGGCTAATGTCATAACTACTCAGCTATGCACAAATTTTGACATATATACATGATGGCTATCAACTCAAGTACAACAATCATTGGGTCATGGTTTTAGTTCTTGCTAGAACAGCAAGCATCTTATAATACTTACAGAAAGACGCATCAGTTTAAGTTGTTCAATACAGTTTTGGTTTTGTAATTTCTGTTAAGATTACTTGTGGGCTTGTTTTGTATAGGGCCTGGCCTGCTTTGTAAGGTATGTTTAAACGACCCACAAGTTTTCATGTGGCAAGTGAGAACAGAGCAGTTTTTGCAGGTTGTTTCCAGCATATTAGTAATTATAATTTGTGAAACGTCTACCAATTTGAAATCTCTTGTGGCTATCAAAGTCTGCATTGGAGAGGCATAACCTATCACACTCATCACATGATTTCCCCTTTTGATTTTCCCACATTTACATAATTTGAATTAATATATATATATCTATATATATAGTTATTTTCATCATAAGCTTTTTGTGGCACAAGGCCAAAAAGTATGGGGCATCTAGTGAGGATCGAACTCACTTTTGAGTTGTAACTGATCTAGCATCACAAGCTTGTTAACCATTACACCCACACGTGGTCCATTGTTTGATATATATATATATATATATATATATATATATATATATATATATATATATATATATATATATATATATATATATATATATATATATATATATATATATATATATTCACTACCTAAAAGGCAATAAAGCCACTAAGACACAAGGGGTTTCTGAGTGTTAGAGAATATGAGAAAAAAGCAGTATATATATATATATATATATATATGACAACATATCATAGGAAATGGCTTATATCAGACAAATATTTAACATATTTTCTGTTTATATAATATTTTTATAGATACATTTATTTGAGTAAATACTCTGTTCTTTAATTAAACAGTATTAATCACATTTGGCCTGAATGTTTGAGAAATTTGGTTGAAAATATGTATTCTCCGATAGGAATCAAACAAGAAAAGCAGTAATTTGAGATTTACTTAACTGGAAGTTCTCACTGGTTGAATGGTCATGGCACACCACACTTAATGGCGGTTCTGTAAGGGTGCAGGTTCAATTCCTGTCAGAGAATGCATATTTTCATTCAAGCTGGTAATTTAATTAATGCTGTTTAATTAAAGAACAAAGCATTTACTCAAATAAGTGTATCCATAAAAAATAACATGTGTGTGTATGTATGTGTTTAAAATTTCAGATAGATTATATATGAATAAAGAGAAAAGGAAACAATGTCAACAAAGATAAGTTTTTCCTTTTGTCTTTATTCATATACTAGCAGCCATACCCGCGGCTGGTCGATCAGAAAAAGCGTTCAATTAGAATGGAGCAAAAACAGCATCATGTTTAGATGTAATAGAGTCTATCTCCTTCAATTACTTTAAAGTACTTTCATTAAAAACATTTAGAATTAATGCAGTTACTGATATAACAGAAGTTGTCTGTATTTATTCAATCGAAGTCAGCTAAGGACACGAAGGGGTAAAACAGGCAACATGAAGACCCACTTTAGATCACAGTTATTTTGGAGTTTTTGAAATTCAGTTTGTCAATGTGCTACCAGGGATGTAAAAGAGGATACATTTATAAAGCAATTGTTAAGTTTGATGAAAAATGGTTGAAAGATCAACAGAAAATAAGAAACAAACCAGTAAAAATTGCCATTATTCACTATTTACGTGGGTTTTCACTATATGGGTGGACTCAGTTATCAAGTTAAATGACTGTTAAACAATCAACTTATTATTGGCTACAATTGAGTAAAGTTTGTATTAGATTGCTTGAAAATTGAGGGAGATTTAGTTTAAAATTTGTGTTGAAATCGATTTCTCATTTTTCACATTTTTTTTGGTAAATGCAGTGGTGTAGAAATAAAAATTAGGTATTGTTGAGCTCGTCATGATGTAAGTAACCTACATACCGAGTTTGAATGAAATCAGAGGAAAAAGTTGAATTTATCAATTTTGATAGGCTTTACCAATTATTGATCTTTTAAAAAATTATTGATATCGATTTTTTATGCTAAGAACCTATCTCTTACATTGTAAAATGTATGTGCCAAATTTGGTCAAAATCAGTTGGATGGATTTCGAGTGAAAAGGTATCACACAGACAGACAGACACACAGACACCCTCTGTTTTATATATATATATATATATATATATATATATACTGGTGCAGAAATCATGCTGGCCTTTCAAATTTATTATGGCTCTCTGCCAACTCAAAATGGTTTTATCCAGAACTTAGGCAAAGACAATCCATCACTGTCAGAATTCCATGTCCATGAGGTATTCTAACCAATCACTTGCTATTCTGGCCCAGCTTCCACATTCTGTAAAAATAAAATACTATATATATATATAGGCATATATACCATATATATTAGGCACATATTTTTTTAAAATAAACTCCTCTAAAACCTAGTGTCTTATAAACTGATGGTTGAGGCTACCATTATTAGACTAACATATAAACACCTGCATATGGCTGACTACTTTCTAGACACCCCAGAATTAAATTCTATTTTTTTTATTATATTGTCATATCAGGATGTAGATTATGGCTCTCCACATATTCTATTTATCTTGGGGTTTTTGACAAAATGAAAAGAAGGATCTGCAATGTAATCTATCTTCAGTCACTATTGACCCAGGCATTGACCTCTAGCTATTGACCACTAACTAGTGACCAGCTATTGACCTCTAACTACTGACCCAGCTATTGACCTCTAGATATTGACCCAGCTAGTGATCTCCAGCTACCAAGTAGGGGCAAGGGGGATAATAAAGTTAAAATATTTAAAAAATGCCCAGTCAAGTATGGATGAATTGTCAATTAAAAACTATTAGGTTTTTTTTCTATTTCTCTCCCCAAATTATATATATCACAGGAGGGAAAATATAGTGCTTTGGGGGCCCCCTCAACATTTCTGTTATTAAATTCTTTAAAAAAACAAAAAAAACTTATTCCCTCCCCTGCACTAAACAACAATGACTGTAAGAAAATACATACAACTGAAGATAAAGAAAAAAATAGCTAAAAAAAGAAAATGTAGATATGATAGCATACAAAGAATAACCCCCACACACTTGACATCAAAGTAAGATGGCCACTATAACATAAAGCCTGACTACATTGTTTAAGACTGAGTCATTTTCCTAAAGCTGTATTTGCTCAAGAGACATTTGGCTGTATATGGTAACCAGAGATGGTTGGTAATTGGTAAATTCTGCAAGAAAATCCCATCCATAGTGTCCATAGTTTCTTTGTTACAAGAATTGATTTTAAAATCGACAGCTGATAACAACTGTCATATAGAAATAAAACAACGTCCTCTCGCCCTCCCTTCATAATGGGGTTCTCCTGTCTGTTGATCAGACACTAGAAAAACAGTAACTCAATTCACAACTGATCTTAGAGAACTGTATATTTAGATGTTGAATTTCAACTGTTATAACCATTTCTCTCTCTCTCTCTCTCTCTCTATATATATATATATATATATATATATATATATATATATATATATATATATATATATACATAAAAAGTTAATGGTCAGAGTTGAATCAGACCAGGAAACAGTGGTATTAAAAAGTGCTCAATACACATGTGTAAAAAATGAAATAAAAGCCAAAATGACATGTAGAGCTTTTAACTTTAAAAATTCGGAAGTTAGTTGAATCCACTACCCTGGTTTCAACCTTATGGTATCCTCAGCCGATTTTTATCAATTGACCTCCTAGCTCTTTATTTTCTTAAAAACTAATGAACACTATATTATTTTTACAAAATAAAAAAAAAATGAAAATATACATTTCAATTGGATATTGGCAATACTTTTATAATACTGTTGCTTTTCTTTTCTTCCCACTTCTTTTAATTCTCTTTCCTTCTTCACATCCACCTCCTACCTTTCTATTGCACCCAACGTTGTACGTTTATTTATTTATTTTTTGAAAATAATATAGCGTTCATTAGTTTTTGAAAAAAAAATAAAGCATTAAGAGGTCAAATGATAAAAATCACCTGAGGATGCCATAAGGTTGAAACCAAGGTAGTGAACTCAACTGACCTCCTGATTTTTAAAGTATATATATATGTGTGTGTGTGTGTGTGTGTGTGTGTGTGGATCGTTGTTGAATATATTCTCAAATTTCTTTCTTTCCATATATATATATATATATATATATGTGGGTATTTGTCTATCAAAATGTATATAAAGTATAGGATTGGTATATATGGAATAAATTACCTGGCTTATATGTCAGAAGGTATCCCCCAATCTATCTGTTGGTGATATTTATATCCTGCCATTGTTAAAAGAACAATTCTCAGTTACCTCACTAACATTTAAGTTAAACATTGAAAGACTAAGAATGAATGTACATGAATTAAAATGTAACCTAGTCTAAAATAAAACAAAAAAAAATGATTTGTGGACATATGTTTATATAGAAATTTTTTTAAATGTTTTACAGAATTTTTCCCAAAATTTTGTAAAAGTATTTTTGGGGCAATCTATATATATATATATATATATATATATTCATATATATATATTAAAGACATTTTTTTTTATGTTTAACATTCTTTTTATAGATACAATTATTTAGGCTCCTAAATGCTTGGTTTATAATAAACAGTATTAAATAACATTTACCGCCTGAATATCGAGAAATTTCATAGAAAATTTTCAAGACTTTGATTAAGGATTCTTGACCTGCATCCTATAATGAACCATCATTTAAGGTGACGTGTCTAATCTCCATACATTGTTCTAATTCCACATGCCATGCCTTTTCTGATCTCAGTTTCAGTTATTTCCCTTTAGTAACTCAACTCTCCAAATTTTTGTTCACCTCTGCTGTGACCAGGTATTGAACTCACAACTCTTTGGGTCAAGTTTTAAGTAATCCAGTACCTGACCACAGCAGAACTGAACAAAACTTGGAGAGATGAAACAACTGAGATATCCCAAAAAAAGGCATGGCACGTGGAACTAGAACAATGGACTAAATAAAGGGTTCAGCTCAAAATTCCAACAAATATCACCTGAAGAAGGCCAGAGTGTACAATGGATGAAACGTTATGAATATGACAACAAAGATGAGGATAACAGTCTGAACAATGGGAAAATTGTTTGTATACCTGTTACCTATCTTTAATCTGACTTTCACAGAATTACCTTTACTCCTCAGGAAACATTAAGTCTCAAGAAGAGTGGATGTAATTCTCCAAAAAAGTCAGAGCAGAGACAGACATAAAATAATATTCCTATATATATATATATATATATATATATATATATATATAAAAAAACCTAAGTGCCAGACAAACCTACCTGGGGTTTGTCTGGCTCTTCATTAACTTAGTTTAAAACTATATCTAGTATATTGCACATTTTGCTTAGTTATTTTACTTTTACTTGTGTCAGAGGTTTTTTTTCTTTGGACTCTGAACTTAGATTCTAGATGATTATTTTCACCGGAAATACATGTTCTTAGTTCTTTATTTTTCTCCCCCTTTTTTTCCCTTGGGTATTGGTTTGTTCATTTAGAAGCTAAAACACCTAAGGTTTTGCTGGACGAGTACAGCTGCTTATATTTATAAGATTATTAGTAATATATATATATAAATAAAATAAATATATTTAAACATAAATAAAAATGTCTTTTAATAAATAGAATTGTATACCTTGTCCATTTCTTAACTATATATATATATATATATATATATATATATATATATATATATATATCATATTTATAAAGGCAAAAGACAATAGGAAAACTGTATAATTAGTCAATGCATTTCATCAATGTGGATTTTTCAAGGAAAAAATCAAAATGAATATATTAAAAACAAAGTAACTATTAACAACTAAACAAAATGTCCTTAGCAACTAGAAGAATTTAGAAAACACTATTGTAGTCATATTGTCAACTGAAAGTTATGTCAAGTACTATCAGGTGAAGAAATATTGTTTTTATTGTTGTGTTGATGAATTCAAACATTTTCTTTTGATTTCTTGATACAGTTGTGTACCATGACTTGAAAAAGTTCACATTGGATGAAACACATTAGTTAATAATACAGTTTTCCTATTGTGTCTTATATTTATACATATTGTCTTTTCTACAGGTTAAATCTGAAATCTTTCATATATATATATATATATATATATATATATATATATATATAAACAGGGAGAAAGAGAAAAAGGACAGAATAGAAATGAGACAGACAGAAATACATCTTTCTTTTCATTTATATATATATATATATATATATATATATATATATATATATTTTCTGCCAAACCTGTCCTTCCATCCATGTGGAAAGACATTCTTCCTCCATATCATAACAGTTCCTTGATTTATTCATTTTAATGTAGTTGTGGTTCACACTACCAAGGAAGAACGACTCAAAGATTGAATGTCAGAATAAAACAACATGTACTAACAAAAATTCAAAATCTTAAGTATTCTCCGTCAGACATTCTGACCAACACATACAAGTCTTCCATCACAAATCACTTAATAAATAATTAGTAAGTCCCACTCAAATTACCACTTAAAAGTGTTGGAGGCCATATATATTTTGTCCTTGTGACCTTTGTTGTGCAAACAGAAGAATTTTGTACTGGGCTTCCAACTAATTTCCATTCAAGTATTTTTTCCCATACATATATATATATATATAGAGAGAGAGAGAAAAAGATAGATAGATAGATAGATAGATAGATAGATAGATAGATAGATAGATAGTGTATAGGGGCAGCAGATCATTATTCAAACATATATTATTAAATATAACAGACAACAAATATCTATTATGTTTTAGTATGAGCCGTTCTAAGCATTATGTAATGGCTTTAGTTTCAAGAGAAAATAAAGACAAAAAATGTCCAACATTTGAATATTTCTTTATTATATTGGTTGTCAATCAAACCAGTCACAACATATTACAATGCATTTAAACATATGGTTCTGTTAATAAAAATTCTTTCTCTCAAATGGTCATGTATGACGTCATAGAGCCACATTACAAAATTACAACCTGTCTGCTGTTTTGCAACCATTATTGTCACATAGGAAACTTCTATGTGAACAAAACAGGATATCATCTTTGACGGTGAATATCTCTGTTGTAATGTTCATATAATCACTCTGATGTTTGCACATGTGAGCCAAAAGCTTAGATTGATGACCAATGTAATAAAGAAATATCCAAATTTTGGATAGTTTTTGTCATTATTTTCTCTTGAAACTAAAGCCACTATATGATGCTTGGAATGGCTCATAATAGATATTCATTGTCTGTTATATTTAATAATATATGACAAGGTTTGGGTTAACCCATGGAGTGATTTTCAGGTGTTTTCCAATGTAAAAGCATGCATATGTATGTGAATGTGTGGGTGCATATGTAGAGAGGTATTTTATGAACATATATGTGTGTGGGTTCAAGTTGTCTTTTGGACAATTCGACAAATTCTTTGTGTCACTTTTCTCATATATTCAGGTTGATCTCTCTTTCCTTATAGATTGGGTATTAGCAGAAGTTTGTTGAATGAATCATTCAAAACATTCTGGTAACAAACTAAATCAACTCAAGGAATAAGTTCACTAGTTCAGGTATCTCTTCTTAAAATAATAGATGGTATTAATCTATGAATTTAAAATAAACCAGTATCATCTGATAAAATTATGAATTTTATTTTTATCCAGATTTATCCTTACTTATTTACACATATTCATGGCAGCACATATGATGACATATTCATGTATGTTTACAGCTGGTTTTAGTCCTTATCATATTTTCTTCTTATGTTTTATTTTATGTCATAAGTTCAAATTTCTAATCAACTTCTCTGGTTCCTTGTTTGGAAAATGGTGTGCAAAGAATGAAAACTGCCAGGGGGATATAATGAAGAAGCTGAAAAACCCTTTGCACCATGTAACATCATCCAACAATGGTGGTAGTAAGGCTTCCACAACTCATATAAGATTGCTTCTGTAATCTACCCCAGCCATAAAGAAATCTGCTCATCATAGATCAATGACAAAATCCTTCCTCCATCTTTATTTTCTCTTTTTCTTTTTGACCAATCACAGATCTTGTTTCATCAAGGTTTTGTTATTGTCTGCTTTCTTCCATTTTTCTAAATTTCTTTTCTTCTTTTATTATATTTTATTTCTCATCATGTATTGGTTTCATGAAAATACATTAACTAGAAAAGAAAAAATGCACCAAAATTTTAAAAAATGCCAAAAACTCAAGATATATTAATGTCACTTGATCTGTGAAAAACCAAAAACAGACTCAAATAAACAAGAACAAATATTTCAGAAGCTTGCATAGTTTAAAATTTCCATTGCTAAGTGAAACCTAAAGGTTACTTGGTTACTAATCGGTAACTGGCAAAAAAATTAAGCTTACCAGTGTCATTAAAATCTGCTTAAACACCCAATGTTGATGAATAAGCTGCTGATAATGGCTTTTTCTTAATTGAGCCTCCATACACAGACAGAATGTTAGTAATAGAAACTTTGCATATTAAGCAAATGTAGCATTATTAATTCCACAAGGTTAGCTATGATTTTACAATATAAAAGTTTTTCTATAGTTAGTCTTATTTTTTTTTTTTTGTACTTCTCATTATCTTCTTGATAAAGCATGAATACCTTTTATTTTGTTGACATATAAATTACAAAATATGGCCTAAAAATCTGCTGTATTTTTTATCAGAAATATTTGGTATTCAATGAGAAAATTCTTTGTACCAATTTTCTGCTGGCTCTAATAAAATTTTAGTGCATATTTTTTGACAGAATAAAATATTTTAATTTCCATTACCTTTTACTTAACATTAGTATCACAAGCCATTACTTCTGTACAAAGTGCAATCTTTGCTAAGTAATTAAAACTAAATGATCAGTCCAATCTGTAAGGGTTATTTTATGACTGGATCTGTTCATGCAAGTGTATATAGTCAGTAAGTCAATGTATGCCTGAAATGCTCTGTCAGCAAGGACATGGGATGTAGGAGACAATATCTTGTGCATCATCTAGACTTCCTTGTTTGTAGTCATATAACTATGTGTGTTGGTATGTCGGTAGGTATTGTAGATCAAGGCATTTTATAACTCTTAAATTTAATGACTATTTGTTCTCAAAGGAATTCATTTTGCATATTTATAAATTTACCATTTATTCATGCATTGAATATTGCTGCCATATCTAGTCAGGTGCTCCTACTATTTGTCTTGAGATTCTTGACAAAATTCAAAAGGTCTGTAATATAATTGATACTGACCTGATATCTTGACTGCAGTCACTTTCTCACTGACATGATGTGTCTTTCATTTGATCTTTTCTACAAATTTGGCAATTTTTCTGATGAGCTTTCCTCCTTGACATCTTGAATGCATTAATTTATGCATGCTGCTAGATTGGCACTTAGGTCTCATCACTTTACTATTGAACTAGCAACCATCTGTTCTATTCTAATAGTTACTTTTTCTTGCACTTCTCACCTGTGAAATTCCTGATTTCTTACTTCCCAGCTACCTTCAATCTTCAAAAGTTGAAATGCAATGTCAATCAGCATCTTCTGTCTTCCTGAATCCTGTTATTTTGTTATTAATTCTCCTCACTTCAACTTTCTCATTCATAGATAGATAGATAGATAGATAGATAGATAGATAGATAGATAGTGTAAGCAGAGAGTTAAGTAGATTATTAGATAGACATGAAGAGACTGAGATAGATAGATAGATAGATAGATAGATAGATAGATAGATAGATATAAAAGTGAGGATAAACAAATAAACACTGCATTTTCTGAAAACACACTGAAAAGAGAGAAATGGTGAGGAAAATTATTCAGTTTCTTGATTAAGTCATTAGACTATTGCTTAAATATCTACATATATATATATATATATATATATATATATATATATATATATATATATATGTGTGTGTATATTTCTCAAATTCATTGTTAATGCTCCTTCCAATATTGATGGGGGTTTCCTTCCTAAGCTTTTACTTGAAGTGGGATGTCAACATCTTGATTATGTCATTATTTTCTCTTCAAATTACATGTACTATTCATTTTGGTTGTTAGTGTTATTGAAAGTCCTCAAGTGATGTGGTGTCTGTTATTTGGTACAGTTCTTTGTGATTTCATAGCACCAGCTCACAAGGTTCAAAGAAGGCTGGTCCTTTTTAAGAGAAGGTTTAATTTGCTCAAAGCCATTTTTAACCTTTGATCTGAGAAAGTGATTGCATACAGCTAAGTTCTGCTACTTAGTACTAATAGTGTTTTTTAATCTTATTATTTTTTTTTTACCAGTTTGCTGCCATTTTGTTATGGTTTATCATTTTATAAAATCAATACTATTACAAACATTAGAAAATAGGTGGCAGGAAAAGTACAAATTTTTGCTTTGTCTAATCACCGAAATTTCCATGCCTGAAGTGATTAATGCAACATCCATGGAATATAAACTTCCAATATATTGTATAGGGTGTCAAATCCTATGAGGCAATACTCCTTTCTTTCCGATTTCAGTCTTTGTTCTCCTGAGCAAAATGTTTAATCAACATTTATGTAATAAAAAGCAGCATTAACAAGATAGAGGTAAGTTGTGAGTTAGTACAGGCAATACAGGCTGCCATTACTTCAGATAAATCAATTTTGATTGGGAGGAAAGATGAAAGTAAAAGATACATCAAAGATGCTTTAGTAAGAAAAAGAAATATATATAAGAAAGAAAGAAAGAAAAATTACATACAAAAAAAAAAGAATCCAAGAGATTGAAAGAAAGAAAGAAAGAAAGAAAGAAAGAATAGAAAAGAAAGAAAGAAAGAAAGCATACAATTATCTAAAGTAAGAAAAACTGAAAGAAAGAAAAGAATGCAAAAGAATGAAAGAAAGAAAGAATATAAAAGAATGAAAGAAAGAATGGAAGAAAGAATGAAAGAATACAAAAGAAAGAAAGAAAGAGAATACAAAAGAATAAAAAAAAGAATGAATACAAAAGAATTAAACAAAGAATGAAACAAAGAATGAAAGAATACAAAAGAATAAATAGAAAGAATGAATACAAAAGAATGAAACAAAGAATGAAAGAATAAAAGAAAGAATGAAAGAATACAAAAAGAAAGAAAGAATGAATACAAAAGAATGAAACAAAGAATGAAAGATAGAATGAAAGAATGAAAGGAAGATTGAAAGAATACAAAAAGAAATAACTAATGAATACAAAAGAATGAAAGAAAGAATGAAAGAAAGAATGAAAGAATACAAAAAGAAAGAAAGAATATAAATGAATGAAAGAAAAAATAAAAAAGAATAAAAAAGAATAAAAAGGAATGAAAGAAAGAAAGAATATAAAAGAATAAAAGAAAAAATATAAAAGTATAAAAGAAAAAAAGAATGAAAGAATACAAATGAATGAAATAAAGTATACATAAGAAAGGAAGAAAGAAAGAATATGAAAGAAAGAAAGAATGTATGCAAAAGAAAGAAAAAAGAGAAAGAAAAGAAAGAAAGAAAGAAAGAAAGGAAACCAGTAATAAGACTATCAGATGCTTAACATCTGCTTCAATGAAATCCAAAATTGTGTTAAATTTTAATCTTTTCATTTGTATCCCCCTACTTCTTTAAATAATGATCTGTTCATGATTATGATTTTTAATGCAATATTTTATTAAAGTTGTTAAACTCAAATATTTAATGATGCAAAAGTCATAGATATCACAAGGAATGTATTCCATAATTAACAATTAGGACTCTTTACAAAATTAAAAACATAGGAAAACAATGGAATTTTCCCAAGTACTGCTAGTTTTAAATTAATTCAAAATTATTCTATCAGTAACATAATTTAATTAATAAATTATGAAAAAATAAAAATCGAGATAAATTACAAAGATTTTATACACTAACTGGTGTTCATATCTTAATAGTTACATTCAAGACATTCCAACCTTTGTACCATCGCCTTCTTCAGGAACCTATCACTGTTCATAAAGCATAGGCACACACATACACACACAACTTCATTGAGTTTGAAATCAGATATTGGCATAATACATTAGCCTCCCACTCAGTTTGGGCAACTCCTACTCTGGGCTGAGCAATAAAATCCTAAAGTTAGAAACCAGAAAAAAATTATTTTTCAAATATTAAAAAATCAGATAATTATAAGATTTATTTGTACTTTAGTAAACCACAGTGATGTAATGGATAAATTGTCATATAAATTATGCAAAAATGAAAATAACACTAACAATAGTTAGGTGGCCAGATCTAAGTGGTGATGTGGTTGCAGAAATTGTCTCACAGCCATGACTGGGTTCTTCTGCTTGTGTGGCATAGTGCAGAGTCCTGTTGCCAGAAATAGGGTCTTCCAGCAAGCCACTGTCTTGACCCAGAGCAACACTACCTCCTCAAGACACTTGATATAGGCATCTGTGTTGAATCTGTGTGGGATGATGAATGGAGGCATAATGTTGCCATCACTAGTGATCACTCTAAACACCTTCATAATCACCATTAGACTCATCCAACTCTTTCCAAATCCACTGTTCTCTTAGATTGACACCCAAACACTCTGAAATATTTGTAATGGAGCTTCCGGTGTGAATGCCAAGCAGTACAGCATGTTTCTAAATTTCTGGTGGTGTGAATTTCACCATTGTGTTCTTTTTGTCAAAGACGGTGTCCAACTGACTCTACTGTACTGTGCAATCAACAAAATCAAAAATATAGACTGTGCAAGCATAAAATTAAAAATATAAAATGGCCACAATTTTACCCAACACTCCCTGTATTCAGTAATGGAATAGAAAATGGAATGCAATTATTTTTAAAGCCTTTTTTTAGAAATATATTTCGGTATGTCATTGAATTGCAATATACATGTGAAAACCGCAGTAATTGTACATACAGGCACAATTTGAATGAATTTAAAATGGACATTTCTGCTGCAAAGGATAATTCCCCTTTTTATCTTACAACAACACTGGGTAACAGGAAAAGAATACAAGCCAACACTTTGAAGTCAGCCATTTGAATGACTCTGTCTATATTTAAATTGAGTATATTTTCTAATAAATATTTTATTTTAAATTAGCAAACAATTTAGATTTGAAATTAGATTGTCATGCCATCAGAAAAGCAACAGGTTTCATACTTACCTGTGTATAATAATCACAATTCTTCATCTCATAAGTTCTGACAAAATATATTAAGTTATTAAATAAAATGTAAATAAATAATCCGTCTCTATTTCCATGACAAGTGTCCTGAGGAACTACATTCCTTGATTCCATTAACTATGACCTTTGCAGCCTGGACCCACCACACCACATACAAAAGGATGAATAAGCCTCATTCACTTCTATTCTATTAATAAGAAGTAAGCAATATTATTGATCCCGACCTGGCATCTTGCCTTCAGTCACTTTTCTCCGACCATAACGTAGCTTCCCTACACCTTTTCTATAAATACTTTCATGATAATTGTTCTGATGACCTTTCTTCTATGGTACAGAGACTTTATAAATTTAAGCACAGTACCAGATGCTTCAACATTTTACAGTTGTAATGTTTAGATGTAGCCATAAGTTTCTTCAATCACACTTCTTGCTTGTGGAAATCTCTTCCAGCTTCTTGCTATCCAGTCAACTTTGATCTCCAAAACTTTAAATGCAATGTCAGTCATTATCTTCTGTCTTCTTGATTCCTCCTCTTTTATTGTTCTCTCTCCTTAATGATGTTTTATCTTTCTCATATTCTCTCACACTCAGTAACCTCTTGCATCTTAGTGGCTTTATTGCTTTACTTGGGACAAAATGATTAAAAAAAGTTCCACTTGGACAGCTTCTTGTCAAGAACTGCTGCTTTATGGAACAGAATCCCAGCAGGATATTTTCCCAATTACTACAATCTTGACCTCTTCAAAGATGTGGAGATGCTTTTAAACTCTATCAATAATAGAAAATGAAGACATATATGGCAGGGAGTACTCCATTTCAGCCTTCTCTAGCTCCTGTAAAAGTAGAGGATAGCAAGAGGAGTCAGTTACTTAATGAAGCAGTACAAGAAAAACAAACTATTTTCCAAGTATCTTCATAGAACAGAGTCCTGGCAAGATATTTTCCAAATCACTACAATCTTGACCTCTTCAAGTCAAGGGTTAACTGTAATCTTCCCTACATAACATCATGAACTTTACTTCTTGCCTTTTCTTATGCCCAGATAACACCACACATTAACCTTCTACCTTGAGTGGCTCTTGGGCATTGTATTAGGTGACCATTACTAAAAAAAAGAAAAAAAAATTATTTGCCATGTCCCTGAAGGACACTGAAGAATGTATTCAATAGACGGAACAATTCTTGAAATAATTGCTATATGTGTAATATTAATTACGTTTTTTCCATTCTAAATTGTATAGATGCAGTATAGAATTTCCACTTGTCACTTCCATTCATAATATCCTGAGGATGATGTATTAGGTTAGAGTAAAATAAATGAATGCTTAGGCAATGTGTTAATGCAAGTGTCCCCCGCCACAGATCCTTCCCTTCTGTTAATGTGTGTATCTGTACATCATTTTAAAGTTTTGAAACAAAGAGAGTACTGAACTATTATGTAATAACAGGCCATCTATATTTAGATTTGAAATTAGATTGTCTTACCTTCAGTGAAGCAACAGGTGTAGAACTCATCTATGTATAATGATCACAATTCTTCATCTCAAAAGTTCTAACAAAATACATAAAGTTATAAAATCAAATATAAGTTTTGTGCCGATTTTAATTCTCTTCTACATAAAATATTCCCAATGCCTTTTTTTGCTATGTTATCGCTTAGTTGTATTTTAATATCATTCTTTTCTTAAAGAATTAAATTCCAGCATGCTGAAATTTCATAGCATTTAAAGATAATGTTATTCTTTTTGCGATAAAGGGGAAAGATCAGATTTAGGGGATAATGGTTTTAGTTGTTATATTTGTGTAGAAATATTCTAAAAATGCTTTCAAAACTTGCATAATTTTATTTTATACTGGTTAGTGATATGCAAATCTGGGAATGAATGGCTTACAAATATGTCTACATTGGCAAATAGTTCCAATAATTGGGTAATAAGACAATGCTCACACTTGGAAAATAGAGCCCAGAAAAAGCAATCTGACACAGAAACAACATTGAGTGTCAAAAATTGTTAAGCGACAGGTCTGTGAGAGAAAAAATGATTAGTTGTCAAAAATAAGACTTGAAAGTTTCTGATATTGCAAGTTAGCTGATTGGTTATCTTTATGATGCATCAATAATGAAATGAAATGAAAAACGAAAAAAAAAACAGATACACACACCCTGACCCTAGCCTTGTTTGCCAAAGAATAAGTTTCCTGTTTCTTTGTTGTCATTTTCTGATTCATTATAAAGTTTAAAATTTGCCAATATCAGTTTATTTAAAATGTCAAACCAACTCAATGACCAACTTCACTAACTGAAAACTTTTATGTTGTATTCAAACAATATCTTCATTAAAACAAAAGATATTTTTCTCTGACTTTTCCCTTTTTTTAAAATACCACATCCCTCGAGCACATATGTGATCAGAAATATATATAAGTGACAAGGTAATCTACAAGAGAATGTGATGCATGTTTTACCAATGTGAACATATGCATGAACTGTACTATGTTTTGATAAGTGACAAGTTAACCTATGAGGGAGTGTGGTGCATATATCATCATTGGTTGCACAAAATCATACAATTTTGCAGGTTAACTTGTCACCTAATGAAACTTAATGCAATTCACACACAAACACATATATATATATATATATATATATATATATATATATATACAGAATAGCACACAATGAATGTTGGCAGTAATATAACAGTGCGCAATGTATAATAAGAGAGTTTAAATTTATACTAATACATTTATTCCAATGATAAATATATATTATTAGTAGCAATTGATGATTATCAGTGTGTATATGTATAAATATTTGTATATATATATAAATATATAATCTGTTACAGTGTATTTCTTGCCTTATCCAATTGCAATATATGGAAAAATATTTGTGAATATGAAAGGATAATGATAAAAATAAGCAGATATAATGTTTGTAATTTATTCAATCAGACATGTCTAAATATATATATATATATATATATATATATATATATATAAAAAAAATATTTCAGTTGAGCTCTCAGGGAGAAAAAATGAATTTGTAAACACTGTCTATTACTGCTACTGATGCAAGACCCTTTATTAAGATGAATTGAGTTTTCTCAGTCACTGGCATGTTTATCTAAAAAATGCATCAAAATTCACTTTCATCCCTCCCATACTGATACCAAATCAGTTGGGTTTTGATCTTGGCTTGAAGCAATCAGATGTTTAGCCACATAGATGAGCTGTGAGACAGTTAAACAGTCTGTCTGTGGATAACAATATATATATATATATATATATATATATATGTATATATATATATATATAAATGTGAATTTGGGCAGCAGTACCTCAATGCAGGAGGTACAGTGGAGTAATGGATAGCTTGTCAGATTGAGGACTCGGAGAGCCAAGTATGAATTCCAGTCAAACCCATTACATTCACTTACATGTTAATACCCTTGGGAAAGGTATGAAACCGCTTCTTCTCCCCCCAGCTATGGGTAAATAGCAGGACAGACAGGGTTGGATAGCAACTGGTCTACCACAGAAAGAAATGACAACCTACTGCGGGAAAAAAAAATCTGCCTCGTCAGTCATATATCAAAAGATACAGATCACCTGAACATGTACCACACATGGCACATAACTGACTGAATATGTCTTTAATACAGGTTTCATTGACAACAACTGACAAGGCACTGCAATTAAGCTTTTTATTATATTTTTCTTGCATTCATACAAAGGATTTCTTTTGGGGATATAGAGTGTTTAAAAACTGTCTAAATGACTTTGGGATCTGAGCACTTTTTTATTCAGTTAATCTATTAGCTGTTATCAGAGATGTTTTTTGTCTTTCTGGATATGTAGATTTTTTTTTTAGCAACAGAAATGTTTTAATTCCAGAATACTGACAGAACATTGAGACCATGTTCATAATTGATATTACTGAGAGTTAGTTTCTTCATTTTTTATTATTTAAAATATGTAACTCACATGGAGGTCATTTAATCATTTCTTAAAAATTATGATTCATCAGAAAATTCAAAGAGAAAAACCATAAAGTTTTTACAGGTACCATTTCAATAAAAAAAAAAATCACCAGGATTTATCTCACATATTTATAAGTCTACCATTTGTCTTTGCTTTAAATATCTTATCTGATGCTCCTGATATATATTTAGAGGTTCATGATGAAATACAAAGAGGAATCTGTATTATTATTGGTCCTGACCAGGCATCACCCTTCCACCGCCTTTTCTATGAATACTTTCATGGTAATTGTTCTGATGAACTTTCCTCTATGGTACATAGGTTTTATGAATTTAAGCACAGTACTAGAATGGCAACAAGGTTTCATCATTTTACAATCTAAATGGCTATTTATAACCATAAATTTTATGCTAACAGTTTCTTTTCTAGCACTTCTCGCTTGTCGAACACTCTTCCGGCTTCTTGCTTCCCAGTCAACTTTAATCTTCAAAAATTTAAATGTAATGTCAATTGTTATCTTCTGTCTTCTTAATTCTTTTTCTTTTATTGCCTTTTCTCCTTAACAGTATATTTTTTCTCATATTCTCTAATACTCAGTAAACTTTTGCCGTCCTGGGTATGACGATAAACTACATCTGCACCCTGGGTATGACGATAAACTACGTCCAACAGCAAGGCATCTGTTCAGGAGGCTTTGAGGAGCATAGAACTACCTCTTAATTACTAGCGTTCCCAGGTCCACCCTGGCCTGGGGTGGTAGCACCTGTTAGGGTCTCAGCTATGGGCAAATAGTTAACACCCAAACTTGTGTAAAAATAGGTTTTAATACCAGAAATACTTTGTAATAAAAAAAAATATTACCAGTAATAATTTTTGAAGGAAAAATTATTAGCAGCAATACTTTAAAAATAAAAGTACTAGCAATACAAACAGCTATACATTCTTTGAAAAAAATATTACCAGCTATAGATTTCTTCAAGGAAAAATATTCCCAGAAATAGATTTTTGAAGAAAAACATATTACCAGCAATAAAAATTTTGTCACATTAAATAACCCATTCAGGTTGATATACCATAAAACAAACCAAACCAGACCAAAAATCAGTAACCTCTTGTGTCTTAGTGGCTTTATTGCTTTGCTTGGGGTAAAATGATTAAAAAAAGAAGCTCTTATGACAGAAATCTGATATTTATGTTACCCCTGGGGGTAACATTGTCCTAAAATGGGATGCTTTCATTGGACTCCAGTTTTGTTAATTTTTGGGAACACCCAAAAGTACAGATGACTCTTACTAGCAAGAAGAGTATGTTTCCAACAATGTGCAATGTTTATAATCTGTGGATATAGATAAATTCAGGAAAGATAGGTAAATGAATAGATAGATATGGTTAAGATAAAAGGCAAAGTGTTTACAGGAATTTTTTTTTTTTGCATAATTCACTGTAAGACAAAAAAGAATTTCTTCCTGTAGCATCCTACGCCTCTGTACCGACCAGCAGATTTCTTACTGAGCCCAAATTTTATACATATACATTTTGTTTTGCTTGCTTTTTTGAAAACTTATCTTGTAACTCAATCGCTCAGAGTGTACGAAGATTTAATTAAAGTCTTTTTGCAATTTATCAGCCATCTTGTTGCCCAACCATTTCCCCCCACCCCACCAACAAATCCTACGTTCCCATCTGCTTCTATTTTGGCAGAAAGAAATTTTCAATGAAAATTTTCTTCAATACTTTCTCCCTTGCTTCTTTTTCTTTTATTTTTCCTGTCTTTCTCTTTTGCAATTCTTTCATTTCTTTCTTTCTTTATTTTTGGTATATTATTCTACTTTTTCATTCTTCTTTTTTTTTCTGCTTTTAAGTTATTCCTGTTACTTGCTCATTCCACTTCTCTTTCTTATCTTTCCATTTTCTTTTTCTTTCTTTTCTTTTTCCCTTTCATTCTTTCTTTCCATTTTCCTTTCTTCCCTTTTTCATTCTTTCCTTTTTTCTTTATTCCTTACATTTCTTTCCTTTTTTCTTTCTTTTGTTTTTTTCCTTTCTTTCTATTTTCCTTCTTTGTCTTTCTTTTTTTTTTCCTTTCTTCTTTCTTTATGTTTTTCATGTCATTCTTTCTATGGTAGCTAGACTTTATGAATTTGAGCACAGTACTAGATTGGCAATAAGGTCTCATCATTTTACAATTGAAATGGCTAAATGTAACCATAAATTTTATGCTAACAGTTTCTTTTCTTGCACTTCTCACTTGTGGAACACTCTTCTGGCTTCTTGCTTCTCTTTTTCCTTTTTCCATATATTTCTTTCCTTTTTTCTTTCTTTTGTTTTTTCCTTTCTTTCTATTTTTCTTCTTTGTCTTTCTATTTTTTCTTTCTTCTTTTTTATGTTTTTCATTCCATTCTTTCCTTTTTTCCTTCCTTCCATTTTTCTTTCTTACCTTTCTTTTCTTATTTCCTTTTCTCTCTTTTTTCCTTTCTTGCTCTTTTTCTGTCCATTCTTTCTTTACTTTTCCCTTTCTTTCCTTTTTCATTCCTTCCCTTTTTCTTTCTTAACTTTCTTCCATTTTTCCTTTCCTTTTTCCTTTCTTCCCTTTTTCATTCTTTTCTTTTTCCTTTCTTCCTTTTTTCCTTTCATTCTTTCTTTCCTTTTTCCTTTCTTCCCTTTCTCATTATTTCCTTTTTCTTTTTCCTTTTCCTTTCCTTTCTTTTGTTTTTCCTTTCTTTCTATTTTCGTTCTTCGTCTTTCTTTTTTCTTTCTTTTTTTTGTTTTTCATTTCAGTCTTTCCTTTTTCCTTCCTTCCCTTTTTCTTTCTTAACTTTCTTCCATTTTTCCTTTCATTCTTTCTTTCCTTTTTCCTTTCTTCCCGTTCTCATTATTTCCTTTTTCTTTTTCCTTTCATTTCTTTCCTTTTTCCTTTTTTTTGTTTTTCTTTCTTTTGTTTTTCCTTTCTTTCTGTTTTCTTTGTCTTTCTTTTTTTTTCATTCCTTTTTTTCTTTCTTTTTTTCCTTTTTCCTCTCTTCCCTTTTTCATTCTTTCTTTTTTCATTCTTTCTTTCCTTTCTTTTTTCCTTTTTATCTTTTTCCATTTGCTTCTGTCCTTTCCCTTTCCTTCATTTTATTTCCTTTCATTTTTTTTTGCCTTTTGTCATTTTTTTCGTTTCATATTTGGAAGAGAAAAATAAGAAAAGGAATTAAAAAGTAAACAAAAATACAGTAAGCCATCAAAAAAAGCTTAAAAGAAAAAATCCACTTCATGAAAACAGAGAAACAAAGAAAGATAGGATTAATGTGAGATTAATTGTAAAAAGAAGAAAGTTACCAATAAGCTTTATTAGCAGGATCTAATCCTAAACATTTGCACAGTTCCCCAATGAACTACATTTCCTGCCCAGTCATTTATATTTTTATACTCCTTCTGAACCAATTTGTTGGATTCACTTATGGTCTCATCACTATCTTCCCACAGTTAATATTTATTATTTTATTATGTGCTGTCTAACTTTGTCTTTATATAGTAGTTTGTTTTGTCCCATCACACACACACACACACACATTTTTATATAGGGTGTTCCAAAAGCCATGCAAAAATTGTCAGAAAACATTCACTTGCAAAATAGCAATCAGGGAAAATTTGCATGACATCATCTTCCATAATTCAACCAATAAAATTTCTTAATAATATATTGTCACATACAGAAACATGATTCTGTTTGGTAAATAAATATAAAATTTACAAGGTTATCAATGGTAATGCGACTTTTGGAACATCCTGTAGATACCAACTTTATCACAAACAAAATTGAAAATAATTTATCGAAGCTTAATATAAAATTTGTTACAACTACTTTTAAAACAATAAAAGACTTAATTAGCACAAAACAAAATAATAATAAGCTAAAACTTAAAAGAGAAATTTACTCTATCACCCGCAATGATTGCCACAAGGATTACCTAGGAGAAACCTCAAGAAATTAAAATAAAATATTATATGAACACAAAAGGGAACACCACACTCAATGCATTATTTACTCACCATAATGAGTCTGAGCATAATTTTGATTTAAAAAAATGGCACTTTAATTAAAAGTAAAAGAAATTTACTGAAAGGAAAATGTATAGAAAGTGCTTTAATCATTAGATTATACACAGGAAATTTACATTCAAGTTCTTGTAACATTTCACCTTTCTTGGTAGACCTCCAATTATCTCAATGTGGGATATTTAATAATTAAAGTGATAGAAACATGAACAAAAAAGGAAACTAAATGAAATCAGCGAGACCAAAACATTATATTTTTTTTTTAAATTAGCTAGGCTATATAACCAAATACATTTAAAAATAATAAAATTTTAAACCTAAATTTAAAATTATCAGCATCACCTTTCCTTCATGTGCATATGTAGTTACATCAATGTAAACATCATCTTTAATCTGATGAAGCCGTCAAGGATGAAACCCACTAGATAAAATCATTTCCCACTTTGCCATAGTTTTTCCCTAAAACTGTTCTCGATATATAAAAATATATACAGGGGCTCCTCGACTTGGAGATCCATTCCTATAGTGTGATGTAATCTGATTTTCAACATAGGCCAGAACTCACCTACATAAGCAGCCATGAGTCTGCCTTATGCTTGGGAGCCAAAATAATCCAATATTGTGTACAGTCGGTGAAGAAACAACACTGTCTTCCTCATACAGTGCCACATAACAACATATTATATTATGGAAGGTGGTGCTGTAACCATGAAATGCCATATGTTGGGTCCGACGTAACCTGAGAACCTTCTGTACATTGTTTTCCCGTCATAAGATATTTAGTAATATTCATAGTAAGATAGGCACAATGCATTGTGAAAAACAGAATTTTTATTGATCCTAAAAATTAACAGGAATTCAGTTTCTCACTTCAAAATATCCTCTGTTTGTTAGATACTTAGTCCTTTCTTCTTGCTTTCCTTCACTACCTTCTGTAGGAGGTCCTCCAGTTTCCTTTTTGTGTCTGATATTAACACTGGTTCATCTGCATATCTTATGTTGTTAAGCTTTTGTAGCCACCAATAATGAATCCTAGTAGGACTATCTAATTCTCTCAGAATCACCTCACTGTATAGTTTATCTAAGTCTGGTGAGAAGACACCTCCTTGTCTTACACTTCTTTATATTTTAGCATATTTTCTGAATTTAATTTCTATCCTGATGCTGTTTGCTGCCAGTATAGATTCTGGATTATTCTAATATCCTTCCCAAATATGTCAAGGTTACCTAGCAGTTCTAACAGTTACTTGTGACATTATCAAACACTTTTGCATAATCCATAAAACAAAAGTGTACATCCTTCTGCATTTGTATTGCTCTTTCTGATATCATTCTGAACATAAACATTATATTCCTTGTTCCAGTGTCTTTAATAAACATTATATTCCTTGTTCCAGTGTCTTTAATAAACCTGCACTGTTTTTTGTGCTATTTCAGTTCTGATTCTGTTGTGTTATCTATTCATCAGAATTCAGATTATGTTTTGTTATAAGGCTAATTAGGCTGATTGTCTGATGGAGTTCACATTCATTTGCACCTGGCTTCTTAGGCAATGCTATAAAAATAGACCTACTTAGGTCTTCTGGTATCTCACCACTGTTGTATATTGAATTTATTCACAATGCATCATGAGAAACACGATTTTTCTTAATCCTATAGATTAATAGGAATTCAGTTTCTCACTTCATGTCTGTATAACAAAGTCCAAGTCACTTCATCTTCAAATTCTTTAGTTTCTCTCTAGAAAGAACACCAGTGTTTCTTAGTAATTCCCTTGCTCTTTTTCTGCAACTTTTGGTCATGATATTAACTCCTCCATTAATCTGCATTGTGTAATCCTAAAAACCCTTGACCAACAAAATGATTATTCTCCTCCTTAATTTCTGTGAATTTTTGGAGAGTCAGACTTTATTCACAACGATAATTGTTCTCATTCTTTGATCCAAATATCTCGCTACTACTCTTGTCTCATTAAGAATTACCTTAGAATATCTTACTTGTAGCAGAACACAAGTTTCTAAATATCTGAAATGAATAAAATCACTATGAATTCATTATACATTATATCAACTGCTTCAGAAAGATACTAACAATCACTAGTTGATCCAGGAATTTTGATTCTATCAGAGTTGTTGATTTAAAGTAATTAAAAACAAGTACAGAAGCTTAAATATCTGGGATGGTTTTTTTTTTACTGGAAGAAAGAAATATGACATTGAAATCGGAACACACATTAGAATAGAATATTGGATACTCACAAAACATATTGAATGCAAGAGGGACAGAGAAAAGCTGTAAGTAACCTAACGAGCTTGCACAAATGGATGGTAGAACAGAGATTGGGGAGAGATGATGAAAGCACAAATATTGCTAAGAGATATAAAGGACTCAAAGAGTTGTGAGTTC